ACCTCGCGCCACCTTACCTCTCTGAGCTCATCCGCCCCTACACACCTGCCCGGCGCCTCAGGTCTGCGGACCAGACATTATTAGAAGTACCAAGAACTAAACTGAGGCTCAGAGGGGATCGAGCCTTTTCTGTTGCTGGCCCCTCTCTCTGGAATGACCTCCCACTGAACATTCGGCAAGCCTCCTCGCTGCCCATCTTCAAAACCAGCCTCAAAACTCACTTGTATTCATTGGTATTTGACTCAGCATGATTTGGTTTGTTCTTGGTTTTGCTGTTCGGTGCTTTCTACCATCTTTATTACTGATTTGCTTTACTGTTTGTTGTATATGTTAAATTGCTCCATGTACAGCACTTTGTATGCAGCGATGGCTGTTTGAAAGTGCTCTATAAATACAGTTGAGTTGAGTTGAGTCTATTCAATAGCCTGACAGCAGTCGGCAGGAACGAGCGGCGGTACCTCTCCTTGCAGCGCGGGATTTATCAGTCAGATTGGAATTTAATTTCATAATGTCCAGTCATTGAAAAAATGTGTATATATTTTATTACTTACTTCAATTGAAATGTATATATATTTTTCTTCCCTAAAAATAAGTTTCCTATTTTTTTTTCTAAATTAAAACAAAGAACGTTCTCCATGGATGAAAAATTAGCCCCAAAGCTCTACATATTCCATCAGGAATCAAAAATACTATACTGTATTTCTAAAAAAAATTGTAAAAATCATCTTATTTTAAAAATAGACATTTTCTCCTAAATCCAAATTCTCTAGAATATACTCGTTGCGAGGTGCACTCTGTACTGCCAACTTCGATCTTAAGGCAGGCAGTGACAGTAATGTGCCCGATGACTCTGTTGCTGACAGTTTGTTGACTTCAGTGTCATTTAAGAGCCAACAAACAGGAGGAGCCAGTTTGTGTCGCTCGCAGTTATTATGGGCTTCGTGTGCACACTAGCAGTCAGCTGATTTATGTTGGTATTAACACACTGTTGGTCAATTTGCCGTTTTCCTGTCAGAAAAGACGGCCATGTGTCTTATAAGTTTAAACGTGTCGGTGTGTGTGTGTGTTTTTTTGTTTGTTTTTATGGTCTTTCTAAATCGTGGATTTTCACTTACTGCGGGTGGGGTGTGGAAATTATTCCCACAATGAACGGCGGTGGGCTGTCTGTGTGCAGGTTTGGCGTGCGCTTCCCCTGCATGTCGGACGCGTACGACCGCGAGCTGCGCAAACTGGCGCACGAGGTGGCGGCCGAGCTGGACTTTTGTGACTTTGTGCGCGAGGGGGTCTACTGCGTCATTGGAGGGCCTTCTTTCGAGACCATCGCCGAGTGCCGCATGTTACGGCAGCTCGGAGCCGACGCCGTGGGTGAGTATGGGCCGCTGCTGCATTGCAATAGATTTGAGTTGGTTAGATCATGTAGCGTCCAAATTTTGAACATTTTTAATTTATTTAATAAAAAAAAAAGGGGGGGGGGGTATGGTCGTCTCATAACATTCTGTTCTATTTTATAATAGCTTGTAACATTCAATTTCATTCCAAATTTTAATATTAAATCGTGTGCTATTTTTAGCGGAACATTTTCTCAAATCGTGTTGATGTGCGCCGTTTTTAATTTCATGATTATGCAGTGACGAATAAAAAGGGCAGCGGGCTGGAAATGGTAAGAAAATGAAAATAATGCAACAATATTTTGGACTTTATATTAGACTAACCTATCATTTAAAGAGCATTGCCTTTGTATAGCTGCTTGTCCAACTCGTTGCGCTTTTTAGCCTACATTTCTCCTGAGAATGGCATACTTTTACATTTCAAAAATTTTGATGACACTGTAAAAAAGTGACTGTAACTCCTGCATTACCACCCACATGCTGTTATATATCCTCAAATCATTTTTAGCTAACATGTTTAGCCGATCCTCGCAAACACTTGTTTGACTTGGACATTTTCTAAGCTAGCACTGTTAGCTACGCGACCATTTTCATTCCAGGGACAGGCTCTTTGTCGTTTTGACCAATATCAACTCAAAACAATTAACAGACAAATTATTTCAGTTGATAAACGTAATTACAAAGTAATTTTACATGTTTTGGCATGAAGTAAATACTCTGGCCCACTCTGGTGTTATCTTCAAGGACGGTTTAAAGTGTACGTTATAAAAATCCATCCATCCATTTTCAATACCGCTTATCCTAAAAAAGGTCGCGGGCAGTTGTTGGAGCCAATCCCAGCTGACTTTGGGCAGAAGGCAAACTACACCCTGAACTGGTCGCCAGTCAGTCGCAGGGCAAATAAACAGACAAACGACCATTCACACCCACATCCACGCCGTCACTGAGTGGGAACCGATCGCACGCTGCCCGCACACAAGTCAGGCGAGTGTATCGCTGCACCGTCAGCGACGGTTATGAGTCGTAGTTCAAAACAGCTAAGGGTTGTTCATAACCTTACTGTTTAATCTAGCCTTGTATTCAGATAAAGCAGATGTCTCCTGGGACAGTCTGAAATCGTAGCTTTTAACCTCACGCAGCAACACACAATGCACTCTGATCTAATCCCGTCACGTTGCCCTCAAGGACAGTCTGAAATCACAACACATCGCAAAACAAACTCAGTATAGTTGTGAAAAAGGTCCAGAAATGACCCGATTCTACCCTGTGTGTTTCAAAGACCGGTGATGCCTTCAGGCACAACCGGAAATGAGTTTTGATCTGCCGGCTGAATGTTTCAAATGTTCCTCTGCACGTTGCCGCAGGCATGAGCACGGTGCACGAGGTGATCACGGTGCGTCACGCTGGAATGCGCTGCCTGGCCATGTCGCTCATTTCCAACCGGGCGGTCATGGACTACGAGAGCCAGGCCAAAGCCAACCACGAGGAGGTCCTGGAGACGGGCCGCCAGCGGGCCGCGCAGCTCGAGCGGCTGGTCAGCACGCTGGTTGGCCGCCTGGAGCTGTGCCACAACAAGTCCCTGTGAGGACGGTACGGTTTTTGTAAGTGGCCATTTAAGAGGATTAAAAAAAAAAAAAATACAGATAAACCGAGCATTATTTGCCGGTTCGTTCATCCTGGGAAATATTTATTACCATTAAACCCAAAAATCGTCTCTGTGGCATCCCTTTGGATTTTTATTTGAAAATCCAGCCACCAAAGCCAATTGCATTTAAGATCAGGAAATTTAAGAGCAACATCATGATGAGACCCACAAAAAAAAAAGTCTCAAGAAGCCAGGCCAGAAAAGTCACAGCAAGTATTCCAATTAGGGTTTGAAACAAACATTTGCGTGACATTTTCAGGCATCCTTTCAAAGACAAACGAGAGCGTTTTTTTTGTTCCAAAATTGGAACTCCAATAAACCGAATTCAAAGTATATTTTATTGCGCAACATGAAATTTAATAGAATTTTTTTATTCGGAGTGGACACTCCAAAACGTCCCAAGAAACCATGCCCGAAAAGACACAGGAAGTCTGCCGTTGCGATTCAAAGTCGCCATTCTAAGGGTAATATCTACCATTTCCTGGGTTCATACCTATTCTTTAAAAATCACTCTCCTGATCCCCGAAGCCAGTTTCTCTGAGAAACGTGACATTTATCACACATGTGCATCACTAGTAAACCCACAAAAAAAGTCTTCAGAATCCACGCGGTAAAAGTCTCAAGGAAGCAGCAGGAAGTGTGCTGTTTTGGGTTTGAAGCGACCATTTTAGGACATTGCTTGGGCTCCTCCAAACTAGAGATTTTTTGAGACCAAATTGGAAGGGGCGCCAACCAAGCTCATAACTGGTATTCACGTAGACATGTCACAAAAAAAGTCAAGAAGAAACCCACCACGGGAAAACACACTGGAAGTATTCTAAAATGAGCCCGAAATGTCCGTGAAACCTGAACTCCACCAGGAAATGTACATTTTGCTCACCAAAATGGAACTCCACATTCTAAACAAGCGGATGACTCTTAAGCTGCAAGTTAGCATCCAAGTTTGTTCGCCTCCTACTGTCCAGGGTTAATACATCAACACACACTTCCGCTCGATGAAACATTGAACACTAAAAAGAGTCACGCTCTACTTTCTCTGCTGTGTCATGTTTCGCTCAAAAAGCAGAACTCAACTTGAAATGCTCTTATTCTATTTATGCGCTCACTGATTTATTCCACGATGACAGAAACGGGTCAAGGGATTTTTATAAAAGGCGTGACGTGACCGAATATTTATCTCCAAAGTGTATTTAACTGGCGTGTTCTATTGACATATGAAGATAATATTAAGATGTGTAGAGTGGGGATGGACCAAAACCGTGGGAACAACAACAAAAAAGTCTTATCACTGTCTTCAGTTGATGTTCTCTTGAACTATTTTTGCCATAAAATGACTCACTACATTGACAATCTTAAATGTCCTGTGTGATTTTTTTAAAGTGTGTATTTACTTTTTTATTCTAGTAGCTACAATTATTATTAGTACTACTTCAAGAAAAAAAATGCTCGCTGAGGGCTTTTGAAAGAAGTAGCCATTAAATTGTGAATTGAATGGATGAATAAATGCAATTTGACATGAACGTCCACATGTATGAAACACATCAACTCGAGGAAATCATACATGAATGCACAGGTGTCAAACTCAAGGCCCCGGGGGCCGGATCTGGCCCGCCACATCATTTTTTATGTGGCCTGCGAAAGCAAATCAACTTCCATCATGCATGCTATAATCTCTACCAAAATTTAAAATGCTCACATGTAATAAATAAGAGATATATTGGAAGCATTTTCTTGTAACCAAACTCGTCCTTACAGTAACTTAAACAATAGTTGAAGAAACCGTGATTGACTTTTTAAAATTTGGTTTTAGTCATGCCCTTCAAGGGAAACGGTAACTAAAATGTGGCCCACGAACAAAAACGAGTTTGACACCCGTGCAGGAATGGATGGATAAATACAGTTGAACATTAAAGAATTAAAAATGATCAAATGTACTCACTCACTTTGAGAACAACCTCCAATCTGGGAATGACAAATGGATAGAGAAAAATACAAGGCAAAGCATTTAAAATGTTAAGTTAGAAAGTACAAAATATAAAAATATTTGTGAAAAATTCATATGCAAAACAGCATCTCGGAATGAAACTGTCACGTCAAAGTAACTAGGATCAACTAGTAACGAAGAATCGAATAAAATAGTTATCAAAGATACTGCAGATCTTTCAAAACAATTTTTTAAAAAATATTTGAAATACAAAATAAAAATCGCAAAACTTCTACATTTTAAAATGTAGTGATAAATTCACGGATGAAAAATTGAACTGGAAACGGTCATTGTGAAAAGTAAATACAATGAAGAAAAATACCGTGCTACAAAATGTTGACAATTTTTTTTTCATTGGAATTGTGCAATCGGATGCTTATTCCCCAGAAGGCTCGTCGCCCTTCGGTTTATCTCCCATTGACCCGTTTGCCTTTTCTGTCAACCCAAACACCGCCGTCTCCCCTGCCTCCTCGGCCTCGACCAACCAGACGAGAAAACATCTTTTTTCCCGTGACATCAGGCGACGCTGCGGCTGCCCGTACAAGGCTTGTGAGAAGTTTTACGAGCTAAGCAGTTGCCTTGAGGGCCAGGCGAGAACGTTTGCAGGTGTTTTCACAACATGTCAAGCTTTGGCCAAGCACCGACATGTTCATTTTCCCCATCACCCCTCTCACTCAAGTCTGCTCACATACTTTAATTAAATACTCATCCGCATACGTAAGATACTCATCCAACTGTGTTTTTACAGAGCTTCACCCGGCGTACCAGTTCCTAATCATTTGACCCTCTAGCTAAACCTCCAGATTCAAGTTCGCTCAACCACTTATTTATTTATTGCATGTGATGTCATCGGGGACAGGAAATGAGGGAGCGTGATGATAACCATAGGACAGGAAATGGACACTACTTTATAATGTCAGCAATACAAGTTTGTTCAATGCCTTAATATTGGCATTTAAAATTCTAGAATTCATAATACGGTAAATGTGAAGGGGGTTTTTTGTACTTGTTTTTTTTTTTAATTTAGCTTTTACTTTTTGTTATATCTTCATATATTGATTTTCCTGTTACTTTGCGGGTTATATTGTTTTTTTAAAAAATTCTAGAACACAATAAATTAAAAACTTGAATAACATGATCTTGCATTATATTTTTTATTATGTATGAAACATTTTTTCCATAGTAAACCCTTTCGAAGGATCCCTCTTTTTGTATGTTTATTTAATGTATTTTGTTTTTAAAAATATAGACATTTTTTTAGATTAGATTTTTACATGAACATTTCAAATGTAAAATAATTTTTGGTCATTTTTAAAATTATATTTCATCACTTGCATCCATTTTCATTACAGCAGATTATATTTACTTTTTGTTTAAATCAAGACAAAATATCACTATTTTTTTTGAAATACATTTTCACAAAAGCTGCCTTTTTGTTTTTAAGTCGAAACTTTACTTGAGTAGTTTGGGATTGCGATTTTTTTTTTTAAATACATTTTCACAAAATCTGCCTTTTTGTTTTTACTTAAGTCGAAACTTTACTTGAGTAGTTTGGGATTGCGTGTTCAATAACACCATTTCACATCAGAGTAAGATGGCTGCCTTGCATTAACTTGGGATTTTTCCCCACACACACACACACACACACACACACACTTGTTCAATAACAGCATTTCACATCAGTGTAAAATGGCTGCCTTGCATTAACTTGGGATTTTTCCAACACACACACACGGACACTTCCAACACACTTCCACACGCCCAAAGTATGCGGAGAAAACATGCAGACAGACAAGCTTTGTTAGCGAGAAGAAGTAATTGAAGCAGACTGTGTTGACTGTGCAGCCACGCTGCCAGCGAAAAGCAACGCCCATGACAGCGCACCCTCATTTACACTAACCATATAGGTCACACACATGTACAACTATGTACTGTGGGTGGGATATATTTACGTGCTATATACATGGCATCTGGAAGTTATTCAAAGCGCTTGAACCGCTTTCCTTCTCCTTCAAAGTTCTACACAAGATACCCGATAATGATGGGATATTGTATGTCGAACTTTGAGGGGTCTGGGAGGGGGTGCGGGGGGTGAACGGGGCAGCATGGTGCCCTTGTGGTTAGCGAGTTGCTGTATTTGTATGAAATATGGACTTCATGAGGCTTTTTTTTTTTTAAACATTTGAATTCAAATCCCTAACGCTAACGTCTAACCAGGCTGATGTTCTTAATTTGAATTCATCACGTGAATGCCGAATCCAGTCTTTCATACCCTCATTTGAAACCCAAACTCCTGACTGCATTTGCCACCTTGTAAATTTGACAGATTTCCACAAAATGTTGTCTACTCCTTGAATGTTATGACTACTCTCAGGCTATTTTGTAATCATGAAGACAGGTTACCTCGTATAGTAATGGCTTGGCTTTAACATGATGACACACCTAAAGTAATTGTTTCAACAAGAATAATTTAATCAATGAGAGACATCACAGAGTAAATTCCACAGGAATACAGCCGACTTGGGAGTCATGCGGGTTTCCGTTCAGCGAAGCTTCTGGCATAAAGTCATTTATTGATGCCCGTGACGCCTGTAACGCTTGGTGGGAATGCAGTCCAATCCGTTCTGGGGATTTAAAACTGAGAAATGCACCATTCCTTCATCTTGCATAGTGAGAAAAAAAAAGCCAAGGGCGAGTCCAACAACCGCATTGCTGCACCAGTTGTAGTTAACACGACCGCTCGTGGTGTCTTTTTGAGGAGTGGTTGGCGTGGGCAAAAGCCACTTGTGCTGCGGCCACCACCGCCCAACCCGATAGCTCCTCGACCTGGGGGGAACCGTCTGCGGGTAGACGTGCACTTTGCGTGGCTCCACCTTCGATCTGGGCAAGAAGGTAGCCAACGGCAAGTCCAACAAGCACAATGTCGCACCAAACTCATTCATACGGCCTCTTGCACCGGTGCTTGGAATCCCCAGAAGGCGGTGTTGTCCCATAGGGCCCAAAGCGGCTTCCTGCAGTTCCCCAAATAGGCGACAACCTTACAGAGGGGACCTTGTTCCTCACGTGGGTCTACTTTAGGTCTAGAGAGAAAGGTAGCTGACAGAATGCCGCACTCACTTGCCGCTGTCTTGTAAATGAAAAGGGATGGGGGGGGGGGGGGGTTTTTTGTAAAAGAATTACA